TGGTGATGGATGCAAGCGACTTGGCCTGCGAGCAGGATTAGACATATAAAAGATGGACGGAATCCATACAAACGAGACCATCTCAGCATCAATTCCGTAGCTTACTTCGTCATGCAGCGATCCAACCACAACTGCAAGCCCAGACACTCGCCGTCGGGCAGCCGGAACAGCAGCACCTCATGCAAGAACCATGGCCGCGACGGCGACAAGACGCAGAGAGCGCGGTGGTCCGTCCTCTTTGTTATCCATGTTATTGTTGTTGTTCTTGTCTTAGGCGTCATCTACTGCCGCCGTACCGGCGCTGTTCCGGCGCCGGAACCCCCGAAGCCCTCTCCGGTTCCAGATCCGGAACTCGTGAGGATCTGCAACCACCACCACAAGATCTACAACCTACAGCCGTACTACACGGAGAACCTGGACCTGTTCGAGGTGCTCGGGCTAGACGGTCGATCTCCCGTGTTCGGGGCTAGTAAACGCAACGGCCGTGCGACAGCGCAAGATGATACGCGGGCAGAGGACGTGATCCAGGACGCCATGATGGTACAAGTTGAGCGGAACCTTGATGGAAAGCGCGGGAGGGACAGCAACGGCAACAGCAGGGCGGCGGCGGCGCTACGCAGAATCATGGTGGACACAGGATTACTACTGCAGAATGCCACGATTCGCAAGCTGTATATTGATGGGTTTCTGCCGGTGAAGGAGAAGAGCCGCAACAGGGGATCTGAGAAATGGTTAGGAGGGGTCTGTAACAACTTTTAGGGGAACTGGAAGTACCTAGGGGAGTATTGAGAAATGTCACGGCGCTGGCGCCGTGGTTGCCAGACACGTGACCTGTGATGAGCGCGCTGGGCGCGCCCATAGAGCCCTCGCGCGCCCGCGGCCCCACTTCTGACTTTTTCCTTCTGCATCCCAGTATCAATTGAGCCACATGTTGCGATCACCTATTGCGCGTTAGCCATCATTCGTGTGCCTGCGATGGGTGATGCTATCGCGAGAAGTAGGGTGCAGGAGGGAAGACACCGTGGGTGACTTCTGGTGTGACATCTCATATGCTGACTAAGGCAGGCACGTGTGTGTGCAGTGTGCCTGAGCTGGGTGTGGGTCGACCCACTTCTCCTTACCTAAGGTTAGGTAGGTCACATCCATTCAAGGACCGCGACTGCCTAACGCTTTTAGTGTGCAGGTCGTAAAATAGTACGACCTACACCGCTGATTGGCCAAGAGATGAGCAGGGTACTCCACTCTTGGGAGGTGGCCGCGCACAGCCTCAGGTGCACAAATCACCCGCACATTACCTTACTGAATAACACAACCACCTGAATTACCAAGATGAACGAATTACATACAACCCAACGTAAGAATCCAGCAGCCGAACCTCGTTGCTAACCGTTTACTTACTTTCCTCCTGATAAAAAACCTTTGTTGCAAACGCGTAGCACTGGCGATACACATCTCCTATCCTCAGCTCCACGGCGCCGATAGCCTGGCGGTCAACTCCCGCAGGCCACTTATTCGCGGCCCGAAGGTCCTCTTCCATTGGCCATCTCTGAATCTGCCCCTCGTCGAACACCGCCTTAAACGCGTTAAGCAGCTCGATGCGGTCCTTGATCCTCTTGTTCTGATCCCGCTCGAGGTTCATACAGACGACCATCGCGTCGTTCCCAGCCGCCTTGCCCTGGTCGCCTGCCACCTCGGCGCTCGCGTAATAGACGTCAGCCCAAGCGCACACGCTAAGGGACAGCGAACTCATGAGCGCCATGGGCCCGTCTGCCTGTCCGGGGAGCTCAGCAGAGGTGAGGTTACGCTTCCCATCTTCAATGATTCTCTGCCCAGCGAGCATCGTCTCCGCGTAGTGTCGGATGCGCCGCTCCAGCAGGGCAATGGCAGGGTGCTTGGCCAGTCCAAACATGGAGAGCCAGGTGCCTTCGACTTTCGACGCAGGGTAGTTTTTTATGCCGTAGAGCTCGGAGCGCATCTTGGTGAGAAGGGACGAGAGGGCCTCGGTCCAGTCGGAATCGATCTTGGCCCCGAGGGCTGCGTACTGTTCGTAGAGGGTGACGATGTCCGTCGTGGGAGTGCCGCCGGACAGCCGCTCCACGTCAAGGATGAGCTGTCGCGAGCCGTCTTGGTAGGGGAAGATGAGGCCCTTTTCCGTTGGGAGGGGTCCGGGGACGGGCGCAGTCATGGTCGTGATGGGTGAGGTTGACTCGGGCAAGAGATACGATACGAACGGCATCCATTTCCATACACTTGAGCAGACGGTGGTGGCTAGATAACCGAGGCACATGGCTGTGATCAGGCCAAAGAGCCACGCGTATCTGGGACGGCACAAGGTACGCAAGGGGGAGGTCAGGCCCTTGAAGAACCCGAGAGCGGCAGTGAGAAAGCCGTCCGAGTTCGAGTCCGGCATGTTGGTACTCTGGTCGTCGGCTTCAGCGTGGCTTGCAATGGCTCGTCCTGTTTTGGCAACTTCATCCGTCGCCTGATAGTAGTTGTTCGTCGTATTGTTGTTGTTGTTGTGGGTGCTCGTCGTCCGATACACTTGAATGTGTGCGTTGACCTGCTGGTTGTGAACCTGTCGTGAATCCTGTCGTTGACCGGCAGCGGCATCGAGGTCCGTCACAGCTTCCGACTCGAGCTCCAACTCCGGCTCCGGGCCCGGCTGGACGTTGGAAGTCACAACGTTGCGAGATGTCTCAAGTTCAGTGTCTGATTTGTGCGTCAACTGCGTGTTCGGTTCACTTCGTGTGCTTGTGCCGTCTCTTGCAGATGTTCCATGATCCCTGTGGGTGTTGCTCTGCTTAGGGCCCGGCTATTTAGTGAACTGAGCTCGTACGCATGATGTCGAATGGAGTAGACCCGTACCTGCTGCTTGCCGTTCATACGCTTCAACATCCTCGCCGCTTGGGCCGGTGTTATGCCGCTGGCATTGTATCTGGGAATGCTGCCCGGGTGACCTGAGGACATGTTGTTTGCGGTTGTGTGGCCTTCGGCGTTGGCTTGGAAAGAGTGCTGCTTCTTGGAAACAAGGCTTAGAAGCTGCGTTTGGGTTCGGTGAAAACAAGAGGTGGCTGCAGTCAATGCCTGACATCTTGCCGCGGCTCTGCGCGATATAAGGAGAACTCAATGACACCGGAGTCTTCTTTTGCGGCTGGTGCAGTGGTGCGTTTGGGATGGATGGGCGGAGGGGCCATTGGCCATGTACTTTGCTAGAGATGGAAAGACAAAGAGCAGAGGGAAGGGATCATCATAGCGTTGATGTGACGCGGGTTCCATATTTCCGTTGCGGAAGCAGACAACCGTGACTGATTGTTTGTCAACAGGGATCCTTGCCCTCTTCTCTCGCATGGCCCAAGCCGAGACATTGATTCTGCGAAAAGGCGGTGCCTGGTCTCGTCTCCTTTGTTTGCAACGAAACGGAGCCGGAGCCTGCTTCGCTCCGCAACGGTCATATCTCATTTCCACCAGAATTCTTGGCAATCCATCTGACATTTTGGCCAATGACTCTGACTGGTTCCCGACGCCTCATCATGATCAAAGGGGAATTCGACCTCTTTTTCCTAGCCACAGCTTCTGGATGCTTCTCGTCCAACTTGAATAGGCCACCGGCTTTGCGATATTACCCTCTGCTTCCCGTCCACTAGAGACCCCAGACTTCATCATCTAATCTTCGTGCAACCACATCCAGTATGTCCACCGACATCTTTCAAGACCTCACATACACCTTAAGCATTATCCCTCCCCCTATTACTCTGTATCTTTCTAGTACTAACGATTATCGCAGTCCATGGAGCAGTTCGACGGCAAGAAACTCAAAGATGATGATCTCGCCGCCTTCCGGGCTAGGCAGTTTGTCCGCTTCCACAAGCACCTCCAGTCCCTTACGCAAAACCAGGGCGTCAAGGATATTCTAGCTCTTACCGAACCCCTCGTTGATAAGATGACTTCCTGGGCGGAGTCGAAAAAAGAATACAAAAACGAGACGCCGTTCCCCGGATCGTGGCGCGTTCATGAACCTAGACATTTCAAGGGGCAACTTACATCATACTTTCGAAAGTTTGGGGAGCCTCCAGCCCAGACGGAGGACGATGCCGAGGCTACACCTGACGCAAACCAGAATCCCGCGCAGGGGATTCAAGATGACCCCGGTCTAGACGATGTCACCATCGCAATCGAGAGTATCACTATTGATGGCGACGAAAACGGCGTTTCTGCGAGAATGCCAGGCGCGTTCGACAACACCGAAGCAGGTGAAAGGCCTCCAACTCATGGTCAAGCTCATCCCCGGCCACATGGACAAGAAGCCGGACCCCTGGCCCCCGGAAAAAAGACTCCAGCCCCGGAGCCCAAGCCGATCGTCGTGCCGCCGCCACCACCACCACCTCCGTTTCTTCCGGATGAGTACTACGCCTTTGCGCGCGCGCGCTCCTCTCGCGGTCATGCCGAACAACAGCTGGAACGCGTCATGGCAGAAAGCAAGAGAGCCACGGGCGTGTTATCCGGTGCAGCTGAGGAACTAGATGCGCGGAGGGAGCTGGGAGAGGCGGAGCGGCGGGTCAAGACTACGAAGGCAGCTTTCAAGGCTTGGGCGCGCGAGGGACAGCAGCATTCGCAGGAGGATTGATTTTTTTGCGAATCAAGTGACCCCTACGGTGCACCGTTAGGAGCCAAGAGGACGGGAGGGATTTGGACGGCTGGATGCATAACAGCAGTAAGCAACTCTCGAAGCGATGGATTGATTGCCTGCCCGGTGAGGTCGCGCAGGGGCGCGCTGAGCGTCAGGTCGCTTTAGGCGCTGCGATCCACTGACAGTCACCTGAAAATCGGACGGCTGCAGGCCACGCAGCGCCTGACAGCGCCCCCGGGTACCCTTCCTCTTCCAACGCGCTTACCACCGTCTGTTTGAATTTTGCAATAAATATCTGTATCATGTTCAATAAACCTCGAGAAGAGCATTCGTTTGATGGTTGAAAATCCAAATTTAACCCCAGCCAAAGAAAATGGCGACTCCTCGAAACCGAAACGGCGGCTTCAAGCTGCCCACACATCCCTGCACCCTCGCCACAGAAATCAACTGTGCCCTACAGCGACTCCAGCAGCCCCAGGGCCCGTACGTCCACCCCCGCACGATTTCCTTCAAGGATGGGCAGGGCAAGGCTTTCTGGGACAACCTCCCGGACCGAGCAGACCGAGACCTCGTCGGTAATTTCACACGCATTTCGCATCAAGACAGACAGTGCTGGATCGGATTCTTCAGCGTCCCGGAGAGGAACTGGGTCGGCAGCGGCAACGAGTGGGACAAGTTCGTGTGGCACTGCTTCGCGGCCATGGTGGTGCTTGACGAGACCAAGGGTAAACACTTGTTTATCTACGACAACGATACCAAATATGGCACGACTGCAGACCTGAGAGTCAAGACTATGCTTTGGGGACTGCAGAAGAGTCTCTGGGAAGAGCTCAAGAAGAGATCTGGATCGGTCACGGTGTGGTATTCGACTGATACTCGTCACCGAGGCACCAACAAGTGCCTGCAGCACGCTTTGAGACAAGCTCAGAAGTGGTCTCTGGAACCTGACCGAAAGCTGTCAACCAGCGACGAAAAGCCCGACAGCAGGACCATTGGCTACGTGCAGTTGGATGCTTGAGGATGGACGGTCATGTTTAAAAGAGAGAAAAACGAACCAGTTGTGAGAAGTTGATGTTGGATAAAAAGGTGCTAGAAAGGTGCAATGCGATGTGACGACAATTGAAGTTTCGATGGATGTGAAGGGTGTAATCCGGAGAGCACTGCTGGCCAGGCGCACCACCCACTGTGATTCCGCACAAACCCCACATATCTAACCAATAGAAGAGTACCTTAGGTAAGCACCCAAGCGCTCGGGCCAGGGTCGTGCGAGATTCTGCACAAGCCCCACATATCCAGCCAATAGAATAATAGGTAAGCACCCAAGCGGTCGGTGCATATCGTAGAACGCTTCCTGCTGTGGCGGCCCACCTGGCGCCAGATGCCGGGCACCGCCTCCAACCCACATGGGGCCTTCTCCAGCCCACTCTGCCTGCAGCCACTTTCTCCCATAGACACCAACAGACCCGCGTTCACCACTCACTCCTGTGGCTGCTGAGGGAGATTCAGGGCATTCGTTTGAGAGTCGAGAGAATCTTGGCGTGCACCCGCCGACTTAGGTCGCCGGTCGGGAAGGCGGCTGAGGTGTTTCCTTATCTCTTATCCGTTTCTCTTATCGTTTTTCCAAGCTGGTGCCGTTATCGCCCCGTGCTTCCAGTACCACATGACCGTCCGATCAGGTGGGGCGGCTGGTGCTGACACCATGACACCATGCAGAAGGTTGGCATGGAATTGCTTACGAACACCCAGAGCGAGACATCAGAGGAGCGTCCGACGAAGCGTCGCCGAATCTCCAAATATAGATATATCTAACATCTCCCCATGTGTGAACGAACCTTGCTGGGAAGGCGTGCAGGTCGAAAAACTACCACCAAAAGTTTCGACCTGCATCATGTTCATGTCAGCAACCCACCACGTCCCTTGACGGCCGTGGCCGTCCACGTTGAATGTTGACTTCACTGCGATTGCCTTGCGACTCTCGTCGCCCCCCGTCGACAGACATAGAGATGGCACCCGAACCCCCTGCCCGTCGAAAAAACGGCGCCACCCCGACGAAGACGCGGATACAACAACAGACCCCGACCGCACCCCGGTCGCACCTTCTCGGTCATCGGGCAACCCAGTCCCTGCTCCTCGGATCCGAGAGGTCAAGAAATGGTCCGAGACTGGATAGTGGCCGTGGTACAAGGAGAATGTGCTTGGAATTCTGTCGCAGGCGGACGGTCCAGTGGAGGGACAAGGGCCAGCTTGAAGCAGTGTCAGCATGGTCCATCTATCTTCTTCCACGTCCGCGAGAGGCACAACAACGTTTCCCCAGCAATCCGTGAACGCCTTCGATCAGGATGTTGCCAGTCAGACCGCCCATTATGACGTGGAGCTATTGACGGAACATCTGGGCTATGTCCTTGCTGCTACTTTGGACCGTCCTCTCGTTGCGTGGTGGTTTCGGACTTGACCTCAATTTCAATACCACAAGCTCGACAACCACCTCGCCGGCCCAACGTGATCTTATGCACTCCCCCCCCC